GAGAGGGAGGGGAGGGAGAGAGGGAGGGGAGAGTGGGAGGAAGGAAGGAAAGGAAAGGGAAGGGAAAGGGAAAGGAAAGGAAGGGAAGGAAGGAAAGAAAGAAGGAAAGGGTAGGGAGTAGAGAGAAAGAGGAGGCAAAGCAAATCTCACCCTGTTGGGAGGTGACAGCCGCAGGCATGGTCCAGGGTTCCCCCAAATAACACAGCTCTTCTCTTTTCCTCTCTGCTTGTTTCTTCTTAGTGCTCCTTTGGCTGCTAGGAGGTTGCTATGGAAACTCTGTACACTTCCTGCGATGCTCTGTCGGCCATGTTCTCTCCTGGCAGATGGACTGGAAAGCCTCCAGGCACGGAAGACCTGGAGATGTTGAATAAAGCAACTTGGAACTCGGTCTTGAGTCAAGCTACCAGCCACTCGGCTTTCTTTTCTTTCCCCTTTTTAAAACAATATCTCCTCCATTCCGGGAAACTTGATTTAAATCATAATAATAATGATTCTGCGTGCATCACTGCAGCTGTTTGCAAAACATACATTTAGTCAACACAAGGATTTAAGTTTAGTGTGTTGTGACAAGGGGATAACCATACAGGTAGCCCTCGACATACAACAGTTCATTTAGTGACCATTCAAAGTTACAGCGGCACTGGGGAAAAAAAGACTTGTGACCATGTTTCACACTTATGACCGTTGCAGCATTCCTATGGTCAGGTGATCAAAATTCAAAATTCAGGCGCTTAGCATCTGACTCCTATTTACAACGGTCGCAGTGTCCCCGGGAGTCACGAGTCCCCTTTTGCGACCTTTTGGCAAGCAAAGTCAATGGGGAAGCCAGATTCACTTAACAACTGTGTTACTAATTGAAGAACTGCCGTGATTCACTTAACGAACGTTGGCCAGAGAAGTCATAAAGTGGGGCAAAAACATAAATGTTGGGCTTGATGTTTGCGGTCGTATGTTGAGGACTGCCCTGTAATGGGAACTCGATTTATGGGCAAAATAAACTGAAGCTTTGTTCAGGCTATTCTTTAGAGTCAAGATCTGACTGAAAAGAGACTTTAGGTCTTTGTTAAGACGTCCAATTCTGAAAGTACCCGCAAGCAGTGGTGGGATTCAAATTTTTTTTACTAGCGGTTCTGTGGGCGTGGCTTGGTGGGTATGGCCTGGTTTGGTGGGTGTGGCTTAGGTGGCATGGCAGGGGAAGGATACTGCAAAATCCCCATTCCCTTCCCACCCCACTAACCTGCTTTCCAGCTCCGTTCTCCTGTGCAGGGCAACCAAAGAAGACCCAGCCGATCAGCTGGGACTTGGGAAGCAGAGAATAGGTGGGGGGCGGGGCCAGTCAGAGGTGTGATGTGCTGGTTCTGCGAACGACTCAAAATTTCCACTACCGGTTCTCCAGAACTGGTCAGAACCGACTGAATACCACCTCTGCCCACAAGGTTTGCAGTCTCAAAAATTGGGATTATAGCAATGTACTTTTCATGGGGCAGCCCTTGATGTAGATCTGATATCAACCCTGAAGTGGCCATTTTTCTTTTGTTAGTTTTTTTTTCCTAGGGAGGTTTCTCTTCTCACTGCTTCAGGGCTGACACAGCCTGGAGCGAAGGGGCCAGGGCAGTGGGGTGTAGAGATAACTGCAGTGTTGTAGCCTAAATAAAATTCTTTCCTGTGGGAACCAAGGACGCTCGTGCAGGTGTCCAAAGGGTGGAAACTGAGGTCACCTAGCAACTGGGCTGTATGCGGATTGGACCATGTGACTTGGAGACTCTGGGAGGGAAGTGACAAAGTTTGACTTTTAATTGGGGGAAAAACCAGTGACACCTCAGAGCCAGTTTTCCAGGAATATGCCAATTTGATATGTCCCAATAAAACATGTTCTTTGAGGAATTTGCCTGCTTCGGAGTTCTTATTGAATGGGATGTATTACTTGGAACCTTAACATCTGGTCTAATCTGATCTGGTCCCACAGGATTAGTGAGTGGGCCACCCTTGATGTCCATTGCTAATTGGAGGTCGCCTGCTGAACTGAATTTTATTTATTTATTTTTTATTTTATTTTTATTTTTTATTTATTTATTTGATTTGCCAATTGTTTACAAGATAATAAGTATAAGTGTATACATAGTTGTGAATACATGAAATGGGTACATATAAGAAAAATAAAAGAAGAATAAGAGAAACAATAGGACAGGGACGGTAGGCACGTTGGTGCGCTTATGCACGCCCCCTACAGACCTCTTAGGAAAGGGTTGAGGTCAATAGTAGACAGTCTAAGGTTAAAGTTTTTGGGGTTTGGGGAAGAAACTCAAAGTGCCCACAGTGGGGAAAAAAATCTTAAGTACCGTGTTTTTCAGACTATAAGACACACCTAGGTTTAGAGGAGGAAAACAAGAAAAAAATAGTTTTTGGCCTCCGCTCGTCCCCTTTTTGCCCTCCCTGGCATCCAGAAACACGCTGCAGGCCAAAAATGGAGGCGAAAAACGGGCCATGCAGAGGGTTCGGGAAGCCAAAAACAGGCCTGTGTTCACTCTATAAGACACACAAACGTTTCCACCCACATTTTTTGTGGGGGAAAAGTTTGCCTTATAGTCCGAAAAATACGGTATTTTGTTTACCACGTTGACAGGTAGTCTTCAACTTACAATAGTTCAGTGACCGTTCGAAGTTACGACGGCACTGGAAAAGTGACTTTTTTTCACTTAACCACCGTTGCAGCATCCTCTGTGGTCACGTGATCAAAATTCGGCCTTGCACGTTGTTATTTGTGACAGTTGCCAAGGTCGCGCGATCGCTTCTTGTGACAAGCAGAGTCAACGGGGAAGCCAGATTCAATTAAGGACTGTGTTCCTAATGCAAGAACGGCAGGGTTGCGCTTAAAAACAGGGCAAGATGGATCTTAAAATGGGGCAAAATTTACCTCACAACCACCTCACTCGGCTACAGAAATGTTGGGTTTAATTTTGGTTAAGTCAAAAGCTACTGTACAAGCCATTTCCACAACAGCCCATTCTGCATATTTTACAGATTCCCCATCAACAATCTACCTTCCTTTGTGGCAGAACCCGTAGTACAGAATCGCCATTGGAAGTGAAGCAAGCCCCCCACCGCATCCCACTAGTCAGAAAGGGGTTACCAAGTCTATTAGTTTAGTTGCAGTTCAGAGCTCCCCGTCTAAGACAGTTCTTCGCTTAATGAGAAATTTTTAGTTCTTTTCCCCTAAAGTAGACTTACAACTTGGAAATGTTACTGCTTTACAACAGCGGGCCCCAAACATTTGCGTATCAGGGGCCAGTTCCGCGGAGGGTTTTCCGTGGACCAGAGGGGTCGTGGTTTCATGTGCTGCCTGCATCCCACTGATGAGACTTTGCATGTTTGCGTGGCCCGGTTACTAGCATGTCACGGGCCCGGTGCCAGTCCACAGATCACAGGTTGGGGACCCCTGCTTTAGAAAACCAGATATGCTTGGCCTAAAGAAGAAAAGGATTAGGGGCGACATGCTAGCTGTCAGGGTTCCGACGATTGCCCTAATTAAATCATGAGCCTCGAAACAAGCTTCGAAAGAATTTCAAAAGATTTATTAGGAGCAACATGTCCAGCACTAACCCATATGAAACCAACTCTGAGACATGTAATTTACTATCACCTGTGATGCTGTTTTCTCCCACCCTCCCGTGTGTGTCATATATCAGATTCTCCAATGAAACACATTCACAGGCTGGGTGTCATCAATCACATTCTCCAATGAAAGATTTTCGGAGGCAGAAGATCCGGTAGCCTAGGCTACAGTCTCCACAAGATAAGTATGGAATGTGTTTCTGGCCTTCATCTGCCCCACTGCTCTGTCAGGCCTTTCCCCCCTCCTTCTAATGTCAACTCGGAAACAGCATAGGAATGATTTACGAGTTGACATCCACTCCTTGAGGGGCTGTCCCAGAGAAGGGTCAACTTATTCTCCATGGCACCCAAGGGCAGGTCAAGAAGCAATGGGTGGAAGCTCCTCAGAGGGAGATCCAATCTGGAAATAAGGAGGAATTTCCCGACAGGTGAGAACAATTAATCTGTGGAACAGAGTGCCTCCTGGAGTTGTGGGCGCTCCCATTGCTGGAGAAAGAATTGGGCAGCCATTTGTCTGGGATGGAATAAGGTCTCCTGAATTAAACCTTAATCCCTTAAATAGAAATGATCCTTGGCTCCATCGGTTGAGAAAGCTAGTTTTATTTAGCGGTTTAAGTTGTGGCAGGTGAGGTCCCTTGTGAGGTCCCTTCCAGTCCAGATTCTATGAATAACATTCAACCAACCAACCCATGCACCCCCATCCAATTCACTTTAACTTCAAGGCCCCAGTTGTAATTTGTATGCTAGGTAGCAAGTTGGATGTCTCCAAACCCACCCATGAAATAAAGACTCCAAACAGGTATATATGCTTCATTCTAATTTATTACACGAAATAAATATTAACATTTCTTGGTAATCTCTTCTACTATTTAGATCCAATAAACCCAAACAAAAAAAGTTTAACCATGTTGCAAACGAGCAATTTTACATTTGTTCCTCTAAAAAGAAAAAAGGAAGGACTAAGCTTTCTGTGTACTGAGTAGTTGAAATTATGGGAATCTAGCTCTGATGTAAAGTGTGGGTAAGTATCCAAAGGGAACTATGTTATATTTGTTACGGAAACCTACTTTTCTTTTTAAATGCCTAATGTGAATGCTTAAGAAAAGCAATTCAAGGTTCGCAAAAGAACTTTCTTCAGACAGTAATTTTCTCCTTATCAAATTTTACAGCAAAAGAATCTTGTTTATGTCTGCAGGAATCCTAGTCAAGCACAAACCTTGTGTAGGAGCGTGAGTCCTGTTGCCTTTAAAACACCCCCAAGGTTAAGTGTGGTGGTGTTCTTTCATTGGATGGTGTGCATAAACATTACACTCCGTAGATAGCAAAAATATCTTTTATTTATAATTTACATTTCCACAAATGAAAAAAAATTGTACATTTTTTCTTACATATACAGTCTTATTCCTGTTAAATTTGTACGCCATCTACATAACTTCCACACGATAGACACCTGACACGGTGCAGGCAATAAGAAATTCAAATACAAAAATGTATTTATTAACCAAGTCAGTAGCTGGGGCCCTGCCCCAGGCAAACATTTTATTCATATAAAAATTATTTGCATTCGAGAGTCAGTAGGACACAAATAAGCATTTCTCTGTAACTTAAAAAAAGAAACCCACAGTTTAAACCGATTCAACCTTTAGAGGCTCTGTTTTAATTTCAGCAGATTCAGGTATATCCCCATCCGTGCAATCCGCAGCTTTTTCTTCTGGTTCTTCTTTGACTTTGGGGCTGTTACAGGAGTCCTGTCCTTCTTGTTTGACAATATTCAACATAATATTTAGTGGGTTCTCCACAGGAGTCTTGCTTGGAGATGGGGTGGAATCAAATGATGAAGCCTGAAAGTCAAAAATAACATCATATTTCGCATGGACCTTGAAGAATTTTTTTTCTTTTTCTTTAATGTGATATAAAAAATAAGCAAAACAGTGCTTTCACAATCTGGGTGGACTCTTTCATTATCTGTTCATGAGCAGAGTAAAATATTTTTGTTCTGTTAGAATACTAGGGATTTCTTGTAGAAAAGGGGCCAGAGCCAACACTGGTTCACAAGATGGCAAGGGTTTAAAAGCCTAAAATAAAATTCATTTCTTAAATCTTTGTGATTTTTAAGAATGATTCTACAAACCATCTTCAACAGCTGGGGCTCACAGTCTCTGTACTTAGGATTTTCACAATAGAACGTGCCTGTTCTCAACCAGCTGTCTTTATGGTTAATTCAGCACATGTAAACTCCAGATATTAAACAGTATTCTTCAGTGTCAATCAGCCCTAGATTATATAATCATCAACAGCAAGAAATATTCAGTCTGACCTAAGAAGATATTGCTATCTCTTACTACTACAGTCAAATAAGCTCAAGTAAAATCAGTGATCTCAATATATAAGCCTACAGAAGATGTTGTTTACCTTTTGATAATCTTCGTAGCACGATGGATGGTAGATCTACAAAAAGAAAGCAGGCCGATCTTAGTTTATAAATATACAAAAGGGCACACAAAGTATATTGCAAAACAATTTTTCTTTCTCCAAGGGGCATCTTTCTCTCTGAACTATTTCTATAAAAATAGGAAGTTGTAGCTGTTATTCTTTCCTTTGCCGATATTTCACTCTATTTGATTCAATCTTCTTTGGACCTGTGGTAAATCTCACCGAAGTAAGTGGATGGAAGTCAGCATGGGCATGATTAGAAGGGAATATTTTCAAGGATACCAATTCTTAAAATTGATAGAAATAACAATAGCGTATCAAGCCAAAATAGACATTTTTAAGCAGACTGCGTACACAAAGAGATGCAATGTTACCTTTTCCTCTACACAAATTGCATTTTTTAAGTGCCATTCCTCCTCTTCCTCATCCCAATATTGCTCGAACTGCTCCTGGCAGATTTCACAGCTCTGAAAGCAATTAAATATAGTTATACTTACAAAGTGTCATTTATATTTTCAGATGAGTAGCAAAACAATTTCATTTTCCACCTAAGATTAGCCGGCCCATGACAAATGCAGAAATTTTGTAGGCTGGCATTACTACTACTGTAACTAAACAACCCCATACCTGTTGAATCATTATTTCAAAGGTATTTCCTTATGTAACTCATATAGCCCATACCTTTTTTGACCTTTACCACACCTCCCACACTTTGTACCCCTTCCTAGCCCAGAATAGGACAATCTGCCACAGCCAACTTGCTACAGGCCTTACTCAAGCAACTTGCAACCTTCTCTGTTGCCAATGCTCCCTGCTAGCTTCCCAGAAGCAAAGACTTTGCTTGTGGGAAGCTATCAGCAATCAATATAAAGGACAATTGCAACTGACTGTGTCGGGGAGTGTTCAAAATGACAATAAGCACTACAGCTGACTGTGGCAGTGCTGAAGCAGCAGCAGAAACACAGTGGTGCCAAATGGCTACAACTTCCCCAAATTTTGTTCCCCCAGGAGTAATGCATCTTGGCATTCTGTAAATTAACCTATCTGAGGTATGTTGGTTCAGAAATGGATGCTTAATGCATCATTTCGCTCAACCGAAGGTTACAAACAGACACCGGAGTTTTAATGTATAGATAATATATATCATTTGGGAAACCATTTTAAAATCCATTGTCATCTCCAAATGCTGGTCGTGACTCTAAATTACTGCTACCACAAAGTTTTAGAATGTGAAGTCCAAAGACAAGCAGTGAATGAAATTTTTTAAAGAAGAAATTTTGGGGAAAAATTCAGTACATTTTCTTATTGTAAATATTGTAAACATCTACGTATGTGATTTTTCATTGTGGGCCTTTTTAAAAATCGTACAAATGTCAAACCCACATGGATCTATTTTTATATATTCTAAGTGCTAGTAAAATGTTAAGTGTCAAATTAAGGATTGCAGTACAATTACGCCAACTTAAAAACTTCAATTACGTGAAGCCAGTTTTAACCGAGCAATGCCTACCTCATCCACTCCAGCTGGGCCCGCAGGGACACTCTGAAACTCCTTCTCCTTAGCAGCTTCTTGAGTTTTTAATACAACTTCTTCATGTACTTTTTCAAAGAACTGGCTCTTTGCACGCTCCTCTAAATCGGCTATTTCTTCAAACTCTATCCAATCCTAAAGAAGAATGTTGAAAAATGTTTAACTCGTTTTCCAAATTTTTAAATGGTAGCATGACTTTATTTCTCTGTTGAAAACATCTTTGTCTTTTGTTCCCAGTGACCAACAGCACTTTATGATCCTATTTCGGCAACAGGATCAAATCTGTGCAGTCTTTTTATCCTGGAAAAAACAGACCTCTTGACATGCTGCTCTTCAATCCATCCAAATTCTCCAGCAATATAGGAAACATGGGCTTGATTCAGTGAGCCAAGTGGAACACATTACACCCAGTGATGTATAGGTAATCCTTGTTTACTGACTGCTCGCTCTTCAGTAACCAAAGTTATATAGACACCAAAAAATAGTTTTGACTGGTCCTCAAAACTGTGCAGTCATGTGGTCATTGTGTAAAAATGCGAAAGACCAGTTGAATACAAGGAATATAAATCTTCCATTCTCCCTCATTCAGTCAGAACTGAAGAAGCTTCTAGGATGAGAAGCAAAATGTCTTCAAGGAAAAACAAAATCCAGTCTCCTTTTGAAAAACCACCTTTGGGACTTGTTTTTTATCCTTCCCTGAATCTTCTGAAAAGGGGCAAGAGGCAAGTTGCTACCTGCCAGAAAGCTCTACTACGAAATATCTGTAAGCAAACGTAAGACCGTGGTCCATGTGGGACACAGCACCTAGGAAAATGCTTAAATCAGGCATGCAGGGGGAAAAAATGCTTTGACTCCCTAATGCCAGTAAAACCTCAGCTTTCAACTTCTCAGTTTAGAATTTAACTGCTGCAACTGCATATTCTTTTCTTCTAAACTCAGTGGCAAAGCTATATGGCATTATTTTCAGAGGCAGAGGCTGTGACCACATCACCAGCAGAGAGCACTTGTATGGCAGTGATTACAAAAGAGAACACACTGTGGTTTATGTAAACCAATCAGAGGACAAAGTATGTTAAGCCCAGGAGCTGGATTACTATCCAAATACCTACTAAACAATAGCAGCAAATGATTTTAAGTGATTTAAGGAAGCATTAAACTGTCATAGATGTAATGCTACTGAAAGCCAGTACCAAATATTCTCACTCCCGAGAATGCATAGCAGTTAGAATACTTAATTTAAGACAAATTTGATGAATTACACAATTTACCCTAATGTTTCCTCTTGGTTTTCAAAGTTATAGCCATGCTATCTATTGGAGAAAACCTGGCAAAACCTTGCATCGTTTTAAAAAGTATGCATTATTAGAAATATTCCATCTTCAAACAAAGGAATTACAAAGAGTTGTTTTGTAAAGCGAGATGGGCAACATATAAATTAAAGAAATAAACAAACATCACATCTCCTTGGAAAACAGCAAACTAAAAATTTGTCAGATTTAACATGCCTTGTGAATTAAACAAGGACAATTATCCACATTTATCAACTTATCAATGGGGGAAAGTCTATCTCATATTCATAACTTTTTGTTGCTGCCTAAAAGTAATTTTAACTTTTTGCATGTAGTTCTTGACTTACAACAGTTCACTGACCATTCGAAGTTACAGCACTGAAAAAAGTGAGCTGTTTTTCACACTTACGACCATTGCAGCCTCCCCAGTGTCACATGTGTAAAATTTGAACACTTGACAACTGACTCATATTAATGATGGTTGCAGTATCCCGGGGTCATGTGATCATCTTTTGTGACCTTCTAAAGCAAAGCCAACGGGGAAGCTGAGGACTACCTGTATTATAATCCCCCTTTCTTCCTTCCTTCCTTCCTTCCTCCCCTTGTCCCGGTTTGTGTTAACTGATGAAATTGTCTATGATCCCCAATTATTGTCTTACTCTGTAAGAGGGCTAGAAGTTTCCTTGTATTATACTGATTTTGATGATACCGTTATGACCTCAGTCCTTTGGAAAAGATGAACCAAGAACACGGAATAAATATTCTCTATGCCGAGCAATAGGGAATAAACAGTCACTTACTGTTAAGCTGTAGTACCATCTTCTGTGAGTGATTTTCCTGCTAACATCCTTTTCTGTACGGTTCTGGCGATAGTGCCAATCCAGATGGTCTGCATACACATCTGTCTGGGAAGTTGTAAACCTCATTCCGCAAGAGTAACACTGAATGCCAGTGTAAAGCCTGTTTATAACACTGTCGTAACGTCTGAAAACAAGAGAGAAACGGCAAGTTAGAAAACTTAGCGTAGCGGATGTTCCATTATAGATATTCTATTATAGAAATATCTAGCAATATTAGGTGTATTTTTGCAATTTATAACATGATATACATACAGGTTGTATGTCAAATTAAGATCTGATATTATGACATTACATACTGTTGCTGTAATTAT